TAAAGCAGAATTAAAAGAGAAGGTGAAGTGAATATTAATAAAAATTAGTAACATTTGAACAGTATTGTTTATATCTAGTATATCTTTCTAGCAAAATACGGAACAAGTGACTGGGAACTTGGCTGCTATCGAAGAAAGCTCGGTAAGTAGACATATTAATTAATATTAAAAAATAGAAAATGACTTTTGTTCACGATGTGTTCAGGCTCGATTAAGCGTAACGACGGTAGGGAACATCGTCGGTATCCAAGCCCAGGAGATCGCAAAAGTAGCCGAGAAGTATGCGACGATGTCAACTTCCGAGAACGAAGTAAATTCTTGTTCTGTACGAGTATTATTAATTTACATTTTTACATATTATCGTAACTATGAATTATAGGAAACTAGTGGTACGAGCTCATCGGCAGCTGTAATAGCATTGGAGAAACAGAGAGCCACGCTCCAAAACCGAATCCGTAAATTAACGAAGGAGAGAGACGCCCTGTCCGCAAAGCATGCGGAGTTAACTGGAAGATTGAACGAATCGAGAACGAAACGGCAGACCATAGAGCGTTCGTTGAAAAAGGCTGAGGAAATGGGAATCAACGAGAACGACAGGTGTGTATGCGCTTACGTGCGTTCACAGTTTTAGTCGTTCATTTCTATTATTAACTTTCTAGTATTTACAAACGTTTGGAGGAACTTCTGTTGGTGCACGACGGACTTAAAGAGCAGGAACAGAGTTTCCGGGAACAATGCAAGTACGATTTGAATCTCCTAAAAGACAAATTGGAAGAGATCGAAAGCGGTACGTCGGAAGAGGAAGAGGACCGTTTAAAGGAGTACGAACAGCAGAAGGAGGCGGTGATGAAAGTCAGATTGCAACTAGCTAAAAAGAACAGGGCCATCGCGTCGTTGACCCGGCAATTGGATGACGTTCCTGGTCGTTCAGAGCTCACGCAATATCAAAGACGGTTTATGGAACTTTATAATCAAGGTCTGTCTACTTGTTTTCAATCGTTCGTCTCAGGAAATGACGCGACGCTTTTATCATCACCTTCTTTTTGCAGTTTCGGCGAAGCACAAAGAAACAAAGCAATATTACACACTCTACAACACTCTCGACGATACAAAACTTTATTTGAGCAAAGAATTATCGCTACTAAATTCGATTCAAGATAATTATAATGAGTGAGTCATCAGTAAACTTTATATTTACGCTTGTTATGTAGCGATAACGAAACGCTCGACGTTTTCCTTTTTTCGCCAGAGCAATGGCATCGACGAGCGCCAAAGAACAATTTCTCAAGCAATTCGAGGCGATCGTTACTGGCGTTAAACGCAACAAGGAAAAGGTAAAGTATAGTTCATTTTACTATAATTAATATTTGCAGAAAGGTACGAATTGTAAAAATAATAACAAGCAAATAGACGATGACTATTTAATTCTGTGATTAAACGTTCGGTCTAGAAAATCGAATGAGACACACTCGCGTGTTCTGATAAGTGAAAATTGCGTTGAACGTAGGTGGAGAAGCGGTGCGGCGACGAGAAAAACAGGAGGGACGCGCTCAGCCGGCAGCTGATCACTTTGATAGAGCAACAACGCAAATACGTAGCTGCGGTCAGGCAACTCACTATTGAATGTCGTAAAAATGAGGCTTTGCTGGCGCAACTGCGTGGTCCGTAAATATATGTACACAGACTTAATTTCCCTTTATCTAAAAACGTATCGGATCCTCGTATTTTTGTCGGCACCGTTTTGTTTGTTCCGGTGACGAGTATTAACGTCATGCATGCAACTGATTGTGTTTAAAGGAATGGATGCATCATCTGAACAGTACAATGCGGCTCAACGTTGAGAGCAAGACTGCGAGGAACTCGATGAGGTAGCAATGGCTTCTATTTATAATTCATGTCCTCTACATGCAATTCGATTATGTATCGAACATGTGTTCCTATTGTTTTAGATACATATGCCAAAGGATAAAATGAGATTATAGAAGGCACCGTTTCCTTCTTCCTTACAAAGTTAATTTTATATCGAAATATCATGTATATAAAAATGTTGAAACGTGATTTTCACGAGGCGCGCGAGGACTCGAAAATATCGGGACGTTAATCCTGAAATTTTCATTGGGTTCTCGTACATCTCCAGCGAGTTTTCATTTACCTTCCACGTACATTTCTATGCCAACACGTCCGCGATAATTCGAAAGCGTAGAGAGTGTATATTAAAAAAAGAAATGCACCGCGCTAATGTCGATGTAACTAACTAAAATAGGGAGTTGCAAAATTCGGATGACGCTCGTGGCAGGGTATAGATGAATCCGAGCATATATAATAGATGCATACCTCGAATCCGGAATTTTAGTCCGATAATAGATCGCTATTGGTACTTATTCACCATTTTCCCTTTCACGATCTCGTCTTCGACGAAGTCCGGCGGTTCTCCTCCGCCGCACCGTCAGAGCCCTCTCCGTTCGCAGCTTTATATTGGCCATCGCCATTGTTCCTCCTCGCAGTGCTTTTAAATGTGTTCACGTGTTCCGTTCGACTATCGCCGAGCGGATCCGGGTTCCCGTCGCTAGCCATTATCGGTGAACCGTGATCAGTGATCTCTTTGTTGTTAACGTTCCTTAGAATGTAGCAGCGATCGTCGATCGTCCCGTTGTTCTGTGACGACGCGCAGTCCGTAGCAGTAATGACAATCGCATCGGGTGGAACAAGTGTACACGTTCTTCGTACCCGTTCGATTTAAATGTAAAAGACGGGACATGTGCTATTTAAACGGTGGCTATTAAATGTGATACGTATCCGTATGAGATATTAGGCGATAAGATGGCAAAGGACGAAGGGGACGACCTCTTGCCGGACAAGGACGCGGCCAAGGGATTTTACGCAAAGTACGAGCCGAAGGAAATCCTTGGAAGGTTCGTGTCACATGATATATATATGTATACCGAGTAAAAGAAAGATGAAATATGGCTAGATTATATTTACTAGTCGCATTTGTTCGGGGGGAGTGCAATAGATATGCCATTGTTTATATTATTAGATCCTCGATGGATCTCAATCGTAGCAATTAAATCGTTTGTTCTACGGTCTAATCTAACCTATACAATTATATAATTGTACGGGTTCAAATATATTTGATTTAATTACGAGAAATTCTCACAGCTGATCGATGAACACATTATTCTTCCTCCGCGTCATATTCACCATCGGATTTAGATGTTCCTTTCTGTCAAATATTTATTACTCATTTTGATTGTATTACGAAGTAAACAAAAACTGTACTATCTGAGAGTTATTCACGTGGAACGCAATGTCGCGACATGAGAATGAAACAAATAATTTTATCATTTTTTAAATATCTTTATCTACGATGTATTGAGTTGAGAAATGAATGATTCACTGAGAACGGATGGAAACGTGAAATAATATTTGCAGAGGGATATCCTCTACCGTAAGGAGATGTATAGAGAAAGAAACAGGCGTAGAGTATGCAGCGAAGATTATTGACATTAGTAATGAAAACGAGGATGGGCATACGATGAAGGACGCTACGTTACAGGAAGTAAACATTCTTCGCAGAGTAGCTGGCCATCCTTATATCAGTAAGCCTCAAACAACATAGAATGATCTCTTTTTGAGGATCTATTTTAATTACACGTTCCTCTGTTGTTTCAGTCGAGTTGCACGACGTCTTCGAATCTAGTACGTTCATATTTTTAATATTCGAAATCTGCAAGAACGGTGAACTGTTCGACTACCTCACGTCCGTTGTTACTCTCTCCGAGAAGAAGACACGTTACATCATGAGACAAGTTTTCGAGGGAGTACAGAATGTACATAATCAAGGGATAGTGCACAGGGATTTGAAACCAGAGAATATACTACTCGACGATAATCTAAATGTTAAGATAACAGATTTTGGATTTGCTAGGATATTGAAAGTGGGAGATAAATTGTTCGGTAAATATAACTTTCAGTGAATAATGGTGATCGTGTGGTTCAGTAGTAGTATTGGTAATATGTTTTTATAGATCTTTGCGGAACACCAGGATATTTGGCGCCAGAGGTTCTTAAGTGTAATATGTTTGAAAATGCCGAGGGCTATGGGTATGAAGTTGATATGTAAGTTCATTCAAGTTTAGTTAACAAGCGAGTACGTAAGATGAAATGCGTAGAGATAATTGTAGTGTTTATAATTGTTGTAGATGGGCGTGTGGAGTTATCATGTTTACTTTATTGGTCGGGTGCCCTCCTTTTTGGCACAGGAAGCAGATGGTGATGCTTAGAAATATTATGGAAGGAAAATACTCGTTCACGTCCCCAGAATGGGCAGACATAACAGGTAGCTACTGTTCATTGTAGTACTAAATTTGAGACATGGTAGAAAAATATTGTTTGCATGTGGAGTAAATTAACAGGACGTACGCCTATGCATCATTTTCGGAGTTTTACTTTGAACCTTTCTTAATACATTGTTATTAATTGAAATTATCTGATCTACCACGATACAAACTTGAAAAAAGATTAAAATTTTCGAAACCCACACCTGAAGTTCCAGGTGAAACGTTTCGTCATAGTAATGAGTACATTGAGTAGTATGAAATTCATGGTAACGTGAAGAAGCACGTGTCATTTCGAATAATTACATACCTATCAAAGGTTTGTCGCGTTGATGCAAGCTGCTTCGTGCATGGGAAGTAAGAATAAAAGAAGGTAAGTACCGTTACTAACAAATCTTTGAACATGATGCACTCTCCGTTGTCGAACATACAATTATTTTCCTACCTGTACAGTCTTCAATTATGTATGAATAAAAACTTTTACGACATATAATTTCCGATTGTACTTGCAGAAGCTCCTAAAGATCTGATAAGAAAATTATTAGTTGTCGATCCCAAGAAGAGAATTAGTATTGTGGATGCGTTACAACATTCGTTCTTCCACACAGTGGTAAGTACTTTCATACTGCACATTTAAACGTTCGAATTCACTTTATATAATTGAGACACGTGTATTACAAATCTATAATTTCTGTTTTTGTTCGTTTGCTTTACGTGTTCCACTTGATATGTTTTAAATTACGAAAGGTATTTCTATGAAACGTGACGAAGATCTTTAACATCATTTCCGCTTTTTAATATTCATTCCGAGAACTGTATATATATTCGTTATAATTCGTCTCCAGAATGAGAGGAAAGTGAGATCACATCACGATGTGACGATAAATAGAGAATTTGTTAAATTGCAGCTATGGGATCAAGACATCGCACCATTAAAACGTTCACTGTCAACTAATTCGCGGCGTCTGAGTAGGATATCTCAGTTAGCTTTGGTAAATTGTTTTTGTTTTTATTTTGTTGTGACTGCCATCGACTAACAATTTTTATTACATAATATACGTAGCACTATTAACATCCTGGGTTTTATTAATATTTTTATTTAATCAAAAGCCGGACGTAATGTATATGTTTTTTTTTGTTTGTCGAATGTACATATCATTTTATATACATGCGAGAAACCACACCGATTTTCCAGTCGTTTTTAACGACAGAAGATGTACGTCGATCGTTAATAATAAATTAAATATTAATATTTATGTTCATATTTTATGCAGAATTACACTAAAACTGTTTACACTTATTAACTTCTTTCTTACTATCTCGCTTTGCAGGCTTGCGGAGATCATTGAAAATCATATTTATTTTCAATCATGCTCAGAGAATCAAAATTGCAAATGTACAGATAACTATGTGTCGTGTCATTGCCCTAATATTTCTACTACGTATTATGCGAGCATCGAATGCAATATAAAGACATAGTAACATGTATCTGTTGCTATGCTTAATAACAATATTATGTATTTTCAGTATCAACTTCGTTTTATCATATATTTTATGTGTATAGGAATTGAAGGCGAAATCGTTTAACGCAAGAAAAAGATTCCAGCTAGCAATAATTTGTGTTCGGGCGGTCGTTCGTATCAAACGGCTTCACACTACGCCTGAGCCTCTCTCGACTCAAGTGGCATGCACCGATCCTTATAGAATCAAAGTTTTACGCAAGGTATTCATATTAAATTGCTTTATTTCAGTATCACTGAGCGTGTAAAATTCCAAGCGATGAACGTAGAGTGAACGTAAAAAAGAAAGCCGTGCCGAGTTCATTCTGACATACATATCTGCGTGCTTTTTATCGGACGACGGAGTAATGTTTACGTTGTTTTTTGCCGCAGGTTATTGATGGTTGTGCGTTCCGCGTGTACGGTCACTGGGTAAAGAAAGGAGAAGGGCAGAATCGCGCTGCGCTGTTCGAAAACACGCCAAAGACAGAGCTTAAGCATCTTTACGTTAGTAATCTGAGCAGATAACCGATGCTCTAACGAGAGGCATTGTCTAGTTAAAATTGTTAATTTTTATCATAGATGACATTACACGGTATCTAAGGAAAGCTGAAGAAATAAATAAGTTGTATAGCAGGGTGAAACTATTTTTGTTGATATTGGTTGTAGTACGAATAATCATTTCGCAAAATTTGTTACGACGGCTGGAGGCGGCGATTCGTTAGTGATTTTTACTAGTTCGTTGTTACAAGACAATAAGGTAAATGTGTAATATTTTCATAAGGAAATAATTGGATCGTTTAGTGATCGAAATTTAATTCGTCTCTCGAACAATTTTATATTATTTATTTAGAGAACAAATTTTATATTATTTCCATTATATTATAGCATTGCTCGGCGTGTACATGACATTTAAAAATGTGTTAATTACCAATTATGTTACCTGTACATTGTTAATGTAACATTTCCTAGAGTGTATTTCGTGTATAAGTGAAGTATTATATCGAAAACGGCTTCCTAATCTCTATTTAAAAAAAAGAAAATTCTTTTTTTTTTTCTTAAATTTCTAGCCAATTTTCTTTACAGTATTTCTCGTTCGTTTTTTTTGTAGTACTATATGTAACATATGTAATTTATGTTCGAACGTCGGATAGATCTTAAATGGAAATTCTTGCATGTGCCTAATGTTCAGAGAAAAGTCTTAGACGATTGTGTACTGAATTGAAAACACGGTGCTGACACGTACAAACATAACGTTACACTGTACAATTCTAACGAGGTACTTTTTTTATTCTATGATTATTTTTCTCATGTTTCCAGGTTATCTTGTCAAGATTTAATAATTATACAAGATAAATATATATGTATACAATGTATTACGAATCAGCAAACTTTACAAAATTTAATTAGAACTAATAATTTTACTGTATTTAAGTAATGTATAATAGGAAACAAGAAATGAAGGTGTTTCAGAAAGATTAGAAGAGAATTTTAATTTATGAAACGATTTAAACCTCTGTAAGAAGAATCTTTTCAGGATAGTTTAATAGTGAGTCTCAGTGCTTCCCAATGCAAAACGTATTGATGTTGCGTACTCAGATCTGTGTATAGATAATGAAATGTAATATTTTTCGAAAGTTCTAGTCATATATTTTGTACTGCTGAATTTGTTTTAGATTATGAATTATAGCAGGAAGAAAGTGTATGAGAGAGTCGACGAGAGAAAATTGAAAACCGCTCGATTTTTGATTAATTAAGGCAGAGTATAAAAATAACACACGTATATTTTGGAAAGCAGATTCGCACGCGATAGATACTTTTTCTTGACAACGTTTGTGTCTCGATGAAAGCAGTGGGCTTTCATTATTATTCTCGCTGTTAAAGCAACACTACTGGCAAGGTGATTAAGTATTCTATTTAATCATTCGTTGCGTAATAAGTAAAACTGTACAATTCGCAAATGTACTTTTGCGTAATTGTTATAAGTGTGTTATTTATTTCTGTAGTGATACGTTCTCGAGAAAAGAGGATCACTTACATGTTTAGTTCTGGCTATAAACGATATCTAAATTATTTAAAATCCTATGTATTTTTAATAATAAAACTATATTACACCTCGAAATTAGTGTTCTGTATAATAAAGTTTAACTAAAGTGGAGAACTTGTAATTACCACGCCTGTTACTAAATCGAGAAATATCTACTACATCGTGTTTAATGGAAAGTTGGAAAAGTCATTGACTCAAATACTTTTTTAAAGGGAACGTGTAATTTCTGTTGAAAAAAGCGACGAGAGGAGGTTTTGGCGCGCGCGCAAAAGTAAACAATGAACAGTACGGGTTGTGTACGGTCGAAGTGGCAACGCCGCGGAGGCTCGATCCATGTGACAGAGAAGGAACGTGACAAAAGGTGGTAGAGGGTGACGCCGCCGAGATCGGAGTGAGTGTTTGCCCGGGCGAGCCGGGTGTCGGGTGTGCTGTGTATGATTGCCGCGATTCTCGTCCGTTCTGGCGTCCACCGGAAGGTAAGACCGCTCGTAGAAGATATCGGCCGGCGGCGACGCCTCGTTCGGTGCCGTAACGCGCGATGATACAGGAGGGAAGCCGAGAAAATCGGGAAAAAAGTGCGCCGAAGTAACGAGCGATATACAGCAGCTCGACACTTCTCTCACACGCCCAGCGGAGTGCTGCGTCACATGGGCTGCGTTCATTGGTCGATACAGCCAGGTGACGTCACGGAACGTTCACGGATTGGTCTATACCTCGGACCCCAGACACGTGAATCGTGGCCAAGCAAGCATGGCTGTTGATGCGCAGTGGTTAGCACTTGTAAAATGTTTCTGCCACGCGCTAGATCGATCAGGTTATAATCGCCGCGTTGTACCGTGAAAACGTCGCGAGATCGTCCGCTGTTCGAAATATTCACGAGTGCGGCCCGTGATCGTCCCGCATGTGTCCGCGCGTCTGACAGGAGAAATACTGCAGAAATATATCCCGGAGTAATTGATTTTTACCGTGAAAGTGGGCTCCAGCGTGTTTCCATTGTGGCCAGAACACAGTCGGTGGCTGACGCGTAAGTTCCCGATTATTTTCCACGCGTTACCGCAGTTACCACGCCCGTTTAAAAGTCACCACGGGACATTATCTCGTCAGGACTATCGCCTATTTAATTAACATGTGTATAGGTGGTTGCGTGGCGTGTTTTCCGTGCCATAATAGACCCAGCCAATCGCACGGTACTTCAACCCGTGACGTCACGTTATCACGAGCTCCCATTGGCCGACGGTGCGTGCGTCGCCCTTCTAACGTGTGTGTCGCTTTGTCAGTTTAAGGAGCTCGTTCAGTGTACGGCACGTTTCTTCTTGACTTTTCGTACGTTCGCCGCCAGCCACCGAGCCTCTCCTCGTCCGACCCGATGCACCGACGCGGACTTCTCTATTTTTTTACGCGATCACACCCATCGCTCGGGTCCCGGCGCGCTCGTAATCGGCGGTACGCTTTCGCGATTACGTTGCCCGGGACATGTATCTACTTTTCAAATCAGTGGCGGAACCTCGTTTCTCTACTACGCCTTTCCCGCCTCTCTGCGAACCTTCTTTTTCTTCGTTCGCCGATTTCCCCGTTCGCGCACCCGACGCTCTACGTTCTACACACGATCACGCGTACGTATTTGCGAATACCTTCTTGCGAGTACGAACGCCACGTATAGAACGACTCTCTCGTTCCTACTTTCGATGCTACATCGCGAGAAACTGATCTGACTCACCTAAACGCGGCTACCAACTATCGTTTATACCTCGTCCATTTATGTTCGTAGATCCTTCAGTTTCATGATTCACGTGTAAATTCTTATCACGATCACGCGATAATACTTAAAACACATGGATCTACGTTTGTCTGATTTCGACGGAAACTTTCCCTATAACAATTTTCCTAGCGAGTTTCGATTTGGAACGGGGACGGAGTACGTACATATGTATATCGTTTATTTTCAAGGCTTGCATATTTTCTTTTCCGACTGTCAGATTGTTTCCAGCGATCGTAACTAAAGATGCGTGCTAATGCTCGAGGAAAACGCACGCGTTGCGCCTGCGCGTGCCTGCTGCCTCGGTGTCGTACATACACGTTACGAAGACATTAAACGCGGGAGGGGATAAAGCTTCCCGCGCGACTGCGTTACGTCACGCGTACGTCACGTGACGTATACTCGGACACCGGTCGAGTCTTTACCGTCTGCAGGCTGCCTTCGGACAAGCTAATAATATTATCGAACGATAAAGTTTTCAGTGATGTTCAGAACGAAAGAGAAAACGATCGAGCATGTAGTAGAAACGATCCTGTGCCGCGTGACCCCGGGAGAAATGAGGAAGGTGCGACGACGTGTGTGACTACTGTGAAAACTTATTTGTTCGTTACATCGATTCAGCGTGTAGTGTCTGCGTAATAAGTTGCCGTTTTTTCTGTTTCGTATAACGCATAACCTGTCGCAGGGTGTAACACGAGCAGACGCGATTATTTACGCTATTACGATCTCTCTCCTCGCGTTTGCCAAGGTCGACGAATTAAGAACCGTCCCCCTCCCTTTCTCTCTACAATGACACCGTCCCGGTCCGGTGCGTTTTCGTTCTGACAACGGGATCACAATTGTTTTTTTTCTTTCTTATGTTTTCGCGCACAGATCGCCACCCGCGGCTGGCAGCAGCAGCAGCAGCAGCAGAAAAAGAGGAGGGTTGAGACACGAGGACGGGCTCTCGACTTGTTCGTCCTCGGCGGCCGGTGACGGGAATCGACGGTCCGATCTTAGGGTCTCGATCTCCCGTGAGATTTCGCGGAGGCACAGGGCTCATCGCTTAGTGACGAGTCGGCTACGTCAGGATGAGCCTGGAAACGTTGCTGGAAGCGGCACGGTTCGTCGAGCAGCAGGAGAAAACGAGGGAGCGCCTCGCGAGCAGCTCTTCATCCTCCTCCGATCATCTGCTCGCCGTTGCTCCCCACTCCAACCATCACAACTCCAACGAGCCACGTGGTGAGTACCACGCGCCACTTTTCGGTCACGATATAATACGCTGTGTACTTACGCGGTTCGATGCATTTAAAAAGACCGGCTATTTATAGTAGACTCCTTTCGGAGCTAGACATTTTATTATTTATTCCGTTCCAGAATATCTTATTGTTTTATCAGTTATGAATATAAGTAGAATGAAATGCATCTTTAAGGGTATACGAAACAGGAAAACATTTAGATTCTATTATACGGTATGGATGCAATTTTGGCTGAAGCTTGTTAGGAGTCAGTCATAGAAGAACCGTGGCGAGGATTGTATCTGTAATGCAACACACGAGATTGTGTTCTACAATCTTCTGTTTTAACGATAATGATTAGACTATTGGGCGCACTGAGTATCACGTATGGTCCTACAACCGTTTAAGGAGACAGGATAATTTAATAATCACTATTAACAAATACAAATACAGAAGTACTTCGACACTTTAATGCAAAAGTAAAATCGTGTCGCAAGGCTTAATGTGCTCAGTACCGGTTGACAAGCGAGTGTTTGAATCCTCTTCTTGTTAGTTAGTTAAAAAAATCAGGTATACTTTGTGAGTTTTTATTGGTATGGACCCCGTTGTCCGGACTTGCCGCGTTGAGGGAAGTCCCACATCTGCGTTGCACGTGTTTTCTACCTTTACCTTGATTTAGAGTGTTAGTGAAATTGTTTTATTGTACTTAGGCTGGTTGCCACCGATAATGGCAAAAAATGATCAACACGTACTGTATAGGGGGTTTGGTTTTTCTTAGCAGTCTCTGATATAGAAAAAATTGGTAGCTAGAAAAAGTGGCTTCTGTAATTCATAATATTAATTACTGTAGTCGAGGTTTCAATGTTGCATCGACGTCGACGAGAAGATATGTAAATATTCCTTATCGCGCCGTTGCAGTGATAATTTTTGTTTTATTTTACGATAACGACGAGCGAGTACGAAAATAGTAATCTTTACGTCGTAAATAAATGAATAATCGCGGAATGAGAAACGCTGCGTCGTACATGCGAATAGCACGCGATGACCCACGCGTTCACCGCCTCCAAATTAGGTATGATTTCCCTCGCGGCAGTGATTCTCAAACGCGTTGACGGTCTCTTACGCGGCGCGTAGTGGAAATTTCCATGAAAAATACCGCCTCGAAATCCGCACAGGAATTCCTTTCACGTTCCCGTGGCCGACGACGTTACGTTTCGAGGATCGTCCCGGTTTTCTCGACGGCTCGAGGATAATCGCAGAGGCGTCTGCGGCCGGATCGCTCAGGGATCGTCCCCGTGTCCCTTTGATTCTCGCGTTTTCCCAGGTCAATGACTCAACCGGCCGATCCTGTAAAGCGAGTCTCGGCACACGCGAAACAGCCTCGGCGAGCACGAAACGTGCTGCGATCGCGCGTCAGTACGCCGTCGGTCTCTTTCTCTACGATTACGCCGATTCAGATCGATGATTCCCAACGATAAACCTTATCTCGATAAAACCCGCGAGGTCGGTTTTCGTCATTCACGTAAAAGTATCGCCACGTGATTTCTGCGGGTGTGTCGAGCAGTTTAAAGCACGCCCGAACTCCTCTACGTTTCCCTAATCGCAATCGGATTGATTAAGGCGTTTATCGGTGCTAAACGTCTTCGCGTTTTAATATCGTCGCGTGAAAGTCTGTACGACGTGATTGACAACCGGCCAGGGTAAGTGTTTACAATCTTGGCGAGGATGGAAGGTTGAAAACTGAGGAGAAGGTGCAAGATAGAGTGGGACTGAACGGGGAAAGGCGAGCGATTTAGTAGTTCTCCCGTGGTCGTTGATCCAACGTGACCCGGCTGTTAGAAACGTGGATGTATAAAGGCAAAGGGTGACGGAATCGTAAGACCCGCAAAGGTGGACGATTGCGTGGAGAAGGATACACCTTAGCATCCAAAGGTATACGCGGCTAAGAGGCTGACGATCGCCTAGAGAAGGGGAGGTGAATAACTAGGTGATGTTGGATTAGAGAGGAGAGAGAGACGACGCGATATCGCTTCTGCGTGGAGGGGCGACGATGGTGACCGTGGTGCTACGGTGACGATGCGATGGTAGGAACGAACCTGGATACACCGGGAGTGGGGATCCGGAGGACCCCCGGTCACTGACTCTAGAAACTACGACAGCTTTTGTGCTTCATTCACGAGCGCGCCACCTATTCGCGCACGGCTCCGTTTTGTTTGCTACATATACGGACTTACGCCTGTTCCCCGTATCATCTCTGCACTTGCCATCTTCTCGTTTTCTCTCATACAATAGAACCTCGTACCGTGCGCTCCGCTTCTATCTCTCTCTCTCTCTCTCTCTCTTTACCTTTCGATCTCTCACGCGTGTAATTCTTTTTTCTTTTGCTACCGAGGCTTTTCCCATCGTTATCGCGCACGCATCTGATTTATCGAGTAGTTCGTTATGATCAGCAGAAATTCTCGAGCGTGCGCATACCGGTGCACATGCACGCGATGCACGGGGAGGAGAGAACGCACGCAGTGGACACTGGCCGTCGTCGTCGTCGTCGTCGTCGGTGACTCCACCGGCTGAGGAAGGGAGAACGGGTTGACGGGTAAAAGGGAGGGAAACGTGTAGGTAACCACGCGAAGTGCATTGTATGTATGTATCTATGTATGTATGTATGTATGTATGTATGGAAGGAAAATGGATGGGCGAAAAAAATGCACGCGATACAGGTCAGATCGATCTTCCCGTTTCGTGGGCTCGTGCTCGTCAACACGCGGCCCAATGGATACTTATTATTATTATTATTAGACTCTGCATTTTATGCAATTGTAAGAAAATTGAATTCAGAATATTAATTAATAGCATAAATAATAGCAATTAATATAATTCTGTGCACCAAAATAACAGAAAATAGAAGAAGACGTCAGAGTAATATTAATAACAACAAGAAACATGGAAAAGTAGAAGAGTTTGAGGTAGAAGGGAAGTGAGGAGGCAGTAAGGAACGACGCTATTTTAAACTGATTCCGAAACGTTTTATTTTTTAGACGACTATCGGTATAGCGCATTGTTGCGTTGGGCTATTTTTCTCGTGGGTCGCGATGAAACCTTAAAGGAAGGTGAATACACACACGTATCAGAAGATCGATCCCTTGTTTTCACGGTCACGCCTATGTGCACACGATTCGAGCTGCGACACAAAACGACACCTAAATTCCGAGGCTTAATGATTTCCAATGGCATTGAACGGGCTCTACTAAACTTGGACGGTAGATTAGATCCTCTTTGATACGATCGATCCTCAAAGTGATGTACAGATCTGTAAGAGGCGAGTCTGTATGACTTATGAAGTGGAAAACTTGAACAGTGGAACGAACTTGATCATAATACGGATGATTTAAACGTCGTAATTCGCTCCCTATCTCTCCGCATCCGGTCTTGGTAGCGCGTTGCGCGTGCTCGCTGCCACGGCGGTGCGTGATATAACAGGCAATACGCGTTAAACGATAATTTAAGTCTGTCTATAGTGTACTTAAACGATGCTTTGCAATTCAGCTTTGCAGCTTCATAACACGCGTGATGCGCCCGTGTTTTCCACGGCGACGCGCGTACGGCGTAGAAACTTCGCAGAATCATTTAATTACATTCTTCTTGCACTTAAGTTCGAGCTCGAACGAAACGTTACTTTCTTATTAGAGTGCGTTTCCTGTTTCGTTTTCAGACACTTTGTTTATTATCTCTATCGTTCACAGAAGAAAAACTAGCGTCCACTGGTCGACTAGGATTGCCCGAGTGTGCGATCGACCGGCACACCATCGGAAACCACTCCTACCGCACAGCATCGGGAGCCCCGCTGTGTATTTCTCTATTCTGCGAGCTGTCCAAGGGACGCTTGTAACCACTCGCCGAGACGATTCGTTACACCAGCTAGACACGCGTAGATCGGTGATCTCTTGAGTGCGTACAGAGAAGCGAATAGGAAAATTGAAGGAGACGAAAGGTGCAAAAAGAATGCGAGAATTATTTGTACAAGCGGTCGGCTGGAGGAACCGAATCAGCGGTCGCCGATCTGTTTGATCGGCAAGTAGATTAGAGAGCGTAGCAGAGGAACGAAACCAAGTGAATAAGAGCAAAGAGTGAAACGGAACGAGAACGCAGAACCGTGTGGCGGACTGTATCATCGGGCGAGCGAGCGCGCGGGCAAATGAGTCATTCGAATGCGCATGTGCCCTGTCCCTGGCTAACCCCTACCACGCGCGTCCGGCCGCGTGGCGTCCTGATCAATCGCGACGTTGCCGGGTCCTCCGGTGACCCGGAGACAGAGAGAGCGACGGAGACAAAACGATGCGCCCCCGACGTTTTCAATCGTTGAACCTCTCTCACCCTGCCGCGACCCACAGGAGGAACACCTTCCCCTATCCCCCACGCTCGCAGCACGTGGCGACGCGCCTCTTTCAATTTTTCATATCTTATCGACCTGTGGATTCAACCGTCTATATAGACGTCCCGGCGAGCTAAAGGAAATTTCAACTACGAGCAATGTAGTAGAATATTGTAACTGTCGTTCGCGGTACGACACGATAGATAAATGGATGGATGGTAGGTGACGTGTTGCACTTTGGCTGCCCCAGACAGTCTGCTTTCCCTGTTCTACGCGCGGCACGTTGCTGTCGCTGCGTTTCCCGGTGACATTGCGCTTGCGGGCGGCAACAACGAACCTACTTGTCTCTCCTAGGACAACGGCCGCTTAACCGAGCTGACCGTGTAGTATACAGTTAGGATCGAAACAGAGATCGGAGATCATATTTTCCTAACTACCGAGTCATAAAGAGTGTTTTTCATGTAAATAAGTATGACTGGTCTTCACTAAATAGCGCAGTCTAAAGTACAATAGGTAATTCTGTCGTAAAACTGTACCTGAGCTGTTTCGTATACCTGCGTTACTGAACCCTAAGGATTTATTATCTCTGAACCACAAAATGCTTTCAAGCTTAATAAGTAATCAGTAAATTTCTTTCTTTTGCAGGTGCCAAATTAAAGAGGGAACGTGCAGATCAAGATGATTTATTCTGCGAGGAGAAGATGCTCATCATCGATGGTAAGCATATCAAAACTACAATACAAATATCGTTTAGCTTAATTTCGTTCAATACTTAAAGCGATATAAAAGATAAATCGACGATTGATGATCGGGGGCTGATCGAGCGAAGACCCGTGCTGGCGACCGAATTGCTCTCTATTTTTAACTACAAAATTTAGAGCAGGCAATAATTGCTTTTTTCCCAGCCCTCAATTGCACGCGCGTTTTAATTACGTACAGTCGTCTATGTCCGGTTTATTCGTGTACACATTGCTCTCTGGACCATTGGAAATAAGGAGAAATTTTCCAATTGTCACACTAGTACTTCAGAATTAATAAATTGAACGAGTGCAAACGACAAATCGACGTAACGAGATATTATATGAAGACTTAATAATGGAAAAAGGACTAGCGATATTTGATTATTATTTACGTTCGCTCATCATTTATGAGAAGCGTGTAAATTGTAGTTATCTTTATTCAATGCTCGGGTATGTATTTATGAACGGCGGTGTACGTCGTGGCACATGTATAGTGAAGAAGAGATAATCTGAAGCGCACCTTTCGGTTGAGAAGGACAGAGCGTCGCGGGTGACTGGAGGTGCAGTTCTCGCGCGAACGGAGATGTCACGAAAGCGAAGCGGCGGCGGCGGCGGCGGCGATGGTGACGAAGAGGTCCGAGGGGTGGAGATCGGGTCGCCGTCGCAGTCGACGCTGGCAGCGTGCACGGGTCGAACGGGTGGGGAAAAGGGGAGCAGGGAATCGTCATCCTCAGGTTGGAGGCGGCGGCACTTACGTTTAGATTTCAGTCGGCACCCGCGACTCACGCGGTCACGAGTTTCCTTCGTCCGGTGAAATCGTCCGCGCTCACGTTTGCCGCACGATCAATCTCGTTCGGTCTCAAATACTATTAAAGCAGAATTCTGCTCCTCCGGACTGTCGAAACGTCAGGCATTATCGTAGACGTGCATTTAACAGATAATGTCAGACCGTCGGCTAATAGATACGCGCGAAAGGTCGAAGTTCCGAGACGCAGAATTATCACTCGATACGTGATTACCCGAGTGGGAAGAGAAAACACTAACCGCGTTATTATCTAACGATCTATCGAAGAGACTTCAGATCTGAGTTGAATAAAAACGAAGACGTCGCGTGATTAAATGATTCAACGAGGGACACGCGTCGATGAGGTTTTCCCGTGAAGAAAATCGAATTCTCTCTATCGGAATTACCGCCGATGTCAAACCGGCTTGTTAAGGAGATCCGAGACGGCCGTTTCGAAAGTATCAATTCTTTTTTGCACGCTAGTACGTACGACGCACGACCTCGCCGTATTTACTCGTAGTAACAGATTCCCCACCCCGTGCGAAACACAGTGACGGTAGCCTTCTCTCTTTTCTACGCGCCTCGCATTCCCGGTGGTTTCCACTTCTTTTCGACTGGTCACTCGCTCGGTTCGACGCGTCCTGGACGACGACAGTTTCATCGCTCGTCCCGAGGCAATGCGGCGACGAGCACCACAGGACCACGGAGACGTGTCTATCCACCAAACACTCCAACGTGAACCGGTGTACACCAGTGATTGAGGGGAAGCTGCGAAGTAGCACCGGGCTCTGTATATACATTTCCAAGGGAAATTTACTGGTTTTCGTGAATCGTCGATCTGGGATTATAAAAATGTTCGTGGACGGACGTGTCTGGACGTGCTGACTAATAAAACGTTCACTGGAGTGTATGCACGTCCGAGGATACGATCAGTGCGCGCGTATATTCGTCGGCGTGTTTGCTTTTCTTCGGCGTCCGCGTGCGCGAGAGATCGAGTAATCGTCGGAAATATGGGAGTTCTGCTGGTCTCGGACGGCACGGTGGCGGTTCAACCTCGCATGAATTTAAACGCGGTTAAAGCTGCGGGAGCGCAGCGCGCCAACGCCGGTAACGAGGCGAATAACAATGTAGACGGGCTCCGAGACGCGAACACCCTCACGCAGGTCGTCGGTATAATCGACATGGTCGTCAACGACGAGCCGGTACGCAGCTGGATGCCACCCCCGCCTAAGAAAAAATGGATAAGGCATTACCTGTTGGGTGAGCTCCAGCCTTTCCTTTCGAATTTTATATAATTTACCAATTACCATAGCCGAGCTGTTATGTCATTTTCGTTGACATTCAGTCTACGATTTTACTCGTTTTCAAAATGATTAAAATTATTGCAATTGTAATAATAAATCCAGCTTGTGTTAATTTCGTTTAGGTGAACGAAATTCAAAACGAGTAATAGACGTAATCTACGTCTCGTGTTTTCACTGTTCGATTTAATATCGATTCTGTTTTTACATAATTTTCATGCGTCAAAATAAAAAGAATTTTAATGTAGGCGTAGATTTAAATTATTTTTATTTTGACGATCTGACTCGAGCTTCCTTACATTCGAAAGCAGCAAATGTTTGCAAACGTGTGTGAACAAAATATATATTCGATTTTTTAACAATATTCAGAAAATGTACAAATTCGCGTAGATAACAAAATGCTTGCGTCACGGTAGCTAGACTGAAGTTAAAGTGTGATAGTCGCGACTGTCGCACATGTCAAGGTAGCGAAGTCAGGGTGAGGTGAAGATGCGTCCGCGCGGTTTATACTTTAGTTAAATCGATCAGGGAGTTTGGCAATGAATAATTCCGAACGGAGAATATTCCGTACCCTATAAATTCTATGGAAATGCGACGTCTACGAGATGGTCGATCCTCTCCTTTTTTTATATTACACAATGCTCCTCGCTCGAACTTGCCGTTTCTTTGTTCGCCGTCGAGTCCTCTTATCGGCGTAGAATAATTTTTACTTAACTATCTCCAGCCAGTGTGAAACATTTCCACGCTGTTTGCATCGCGTTTAAGATACATTCATTTTAAAGTCGAAGACCAACGATAAAACCGTTGATTCCACGATAAACATTTCTTAAACGCATTTCATCGATTAATTCATTGGGCTAAGTACAATCAGTTAATTCGAGACGTGACAGCGATGAATAAAAATAGAAACCTGATTAGCGCGATTAACTGGTGGTCAGGCAACGTCGAAGGAAGTTTCAGTGAACAAAATTTTCGAAAACGCAAAAATTTTTTTTCGCAGAATTTCGAAAAATATTTCAAATAAAAGTCGTAGATTTTGACGTCCTCTACAAAAAAGATTCTATACAATTTTCCCGTAAGTTTAATGGCTTAGGAAAAACGAGAATTTCAAAGAACCTGAAGTGACACACTTGGCAAAAAATTTCGTTCCTCCTGAAATATTGCGTATTCTACGCAACATTTTACATTTCGTTTTATTTTATGTCGAATCGATTTGAAGTTCATTGAGCTTAAAATGTATAAAAAGTCCGGAGATTAACTAACTACGTTGGCCAGCTGAAGAAACCTAAATAGATTAGTATTTGTAACAGAATGTAAAAAGCAGACCGGATAATAACGTTAAACATCTCGCCGTTTTACTACCCCTTTTATGAAGCCGTTAAACGTCCGTAAGCATAATTGTTATTGGCTACTTTTTGCACTCTGTCTGCGTTTGTTGATAGACTGCTTCCATTGATCGAAACAGAGGAAGGGAAAAAAAAATTGGTGGGTAGACAGAGAGAAAGAGAGAGAGAGAGAGAGAGAGAGAGGTAGAGCCGCCGGTTATCGTCGTTACGTAGCGCGTAGCGTATCGTTTGATTTTATTGAGCCGATTGAATAATCCAACCACTACGTAGAACAGTGGCTCCCGACTTTATCAAATTACATCATACGCGTTCTCTACGTATTTACTACCAGCATTCCCTGGCTTTTGTCATCGATCGAAACTGATAGACTTCCTTTCAAACTTTCGATTATATTTTTGGAAATAAGGAACATCATTCTTTATACATAGACTTGTATTGAATATTGAATGAATAATGATAGGAACAATTTTAAAAGAGACAAGCTGAAAGAATAAGAAAATTGTACCTAAGGTCAATTTGCCTCTCGGGTTTTCCCAGGCATTAACATACCTGCCAGTGATTACTATTGTCTTGCCTGTACAAGTAATTATCCCCCAAAATGCAACGTGCCATCCCCTATAAATATTCTATTTAAAGTTATTTAAATAATAATAAATAGTAAATAAAATAAATAGTAATTCTGTGTAACTTAGGTTTTCTTTTCTTTAAAATTGAGTACCTCAAAGAGATTTATGAGGTATAATAGTATTTTGAGAATTAGTGTCGACAGGTATTCGAGGCTTGTATACCTGATCAAAGTGACCATTATTACTATATTAGTACTATAAGTACACAATGGACCGTCGCAATTTTCTTTATTCTTGATTTCTGTCTTATCTCGGTTCATAAACTCAACCAGTAGCTGTTTATGCTCCCGGAAAGATAATGTAAGATGCCTCTTGTTTTCTTTAATTGTCAGTTTGATCTCATGAAATCGCCACGGAGGTGCACCATCGGTTCTAATTTCGGTTTGGCGTGACATCAAGGCAATTATACGCATTCGGCACGCCGCGCGTTGCACTATTTATCTTTATCGCCGTCCCATAGCCCCCCGATTTTCCGTTTCGTCTCGTTTCCTCGCGGCCCCAGCATCGTTATCTCGCGGCACGTGGTCGTCGCTCGCTATCGTGGCCGTGACACTGCATTTAAACCATCGACTGTACGCTTGTCTCGCGTCTACGGAGACTGCATTTATCCATCTTAGCGGCGATAAAGCGAAGAGAGGCAGAACAGCTTCGATTCAGAATTAAGCAATGAAAATGATTTTCCTTTTTAATGCGGGTTTACTTCTCTGACTTAAGACTAGAACATGTAATTCTTCTAAGGGTGCACGTATGTAGGTCGCACGGTTCATTCATTTGAGATGTACTCGGAATTTTATTCGTTGAAGAGATCAGATGTTAACATTCAATGGTAAACTCTTTGAGCCTTAGCAGGGGTCGACGATTGTATTAGGTAATTCGGATTGGCAGGGCAATTAAAGCCGCTCTCGTTAGAAACGGGTTGGTTCGAAGAACCAAGGCGCCGTTAAAAGGAGGAGCCGAGTCTTTTTTTCTTCACCATCGAGGATGCTTCGAACTTAAAGCGGTTACGCGCGCACACGACTATAAATATTCTTTAGCTGGACGTGTTGCGTTGTGGGTTCTCGCGTTACAGTAGGACCACCGATCGAGCCTCTTCGGTTTAATTCAACTATCGGCATTCATCCTGTTGTGAATCCAAGGAATCATTTTTGATACTCTTGAAGATGTCTTTCGAATAATTGAAAATTATTCTATTATTTATTTTCATTGTTTACTTCAATTCTTGAGGCGAACAAGACGCAATTCTGTTCAGGCTAAAGAGGTTTACGAAATGCAGGTGCCCGTGTTTATGTTAACAATTCTATCAGTCGTATCGTCTTCCACTCTTGCAACCATTTAAAGTCCACTTCTACGAACGCTGATTCACTTCTGTTATCACGCTTTATGCAAGGTCCAGTCAAGATTGGACCCTTACATAAAACTAATCACAAAGCATTGAAATTTTAACAGTTGTTAGATATTACATTAATAAAACAC